TTTCTCGTTATTTTATCATTTTCTAGGTTGAAAAAAATCTCGATTCTGAAAATTTCAAATCGATATTTTAATTTCTAAAGGTAACTAATAATTATTTTAACTTTAAAAGTAGTGTACCTAAATGTTTTCGAGCGACCTCTAAAAGTAAATATCAACGAACTAATAATTTTTTTATTGAATTTTAAGAACGAAAGAATAGAAATAAATCACGAATTCTTTTGTTATCCATAATTTGGTTGTTATTTGATGGAATTTTATAAATATGCCTAAAAGTTGTGAGTTTTAGTGTTCTTCTATTCTATCTATTCTATTTATTCTATTATATTCTATTTATTCTGTTCTAAATTAGCTTTGTATTTAAATGGAATTTTGATTTATTGAAACGGGCCCTTTTGATTGTTACATTAAAAAAATAGTTTTTTACCACTTTTTTTATAAACATTTAGATTATCTCCAAAACCATGCATAATATTTAATTATAAAAAGTGTGATTGTATAGCCAATTAAAAAATACACATTTAAAAAAAAAGTGTTCCTACGCCCTTTTGGAGCCGAGTTAGGTACACTTTTTTTTTTCAAAATATCATAGCGCCTCTGTAAAAATGTTTTTTTGCAATAACTTTTAAACAATTTATCCGATTTTAATCTATCATATAATCTGGCATTTTGTACGTCTTTTTATTGTGCATATTTCGTCTGTTGAACACTTTTCTCTAAAATCAATAGTTTTTCCAATATATTGGAAAAACTGATTTTTGACCCAAATTGTTTAAAAAAAAACAATGTTGCTAATGAAAAAAATTGACTCACGATATAAGACCTTTTCTACTGCCTTCCTCTGCACAGTTCAACAATAAAATAGCGGACGTCAATTCATCGATGTTCAAATATTTATAGCGACGCGACTAGATATCAGAGAATATATTGCGACATATCTAATAATAGTAATGGTTATTTACGATGAGGGTCTTATTTTAGAAGTTAAAAAAAATAATACTAAAACATTTGAAATATATGTAAATATCACGAGAAATAGAACGAAAAAAAAAGTGTTTTTTTAACTTGTACTTCAGTTTTTAACAAAAAATGTTTAGAGTTTTTTAACAAAAAATATTTAGAATTGAATCTGCATATATTTAAAAATTCTGTTAAAGGCAATTTTTAATAATTAATCGATGTCAAAAAATACTTTTTTTTTCTTACAGAGAAATTAGAACGGAGACATTGTTATGAAGCAAAAACAAACGACAACGTTTTTTTAAAGCTGTTTGAAAAGGGTTAAATATTTTAATATTGATATTTGGTAAAATTTGTTCTTTGTACCTAACTATATTAAATAAAAAAATTTGGTTAATTTTGTAATAATTATTTCTAATGAACAAAGAAGAATCATTCACTTAACTTTTTATTGACTTTTTACACACTACCTGTGTATTGGGCTAATCCTGACCATAATGAGAAATAAATGTGTATTTTGCAATACAAAATTGTTATGTGGACCCACTCAGAACCAACTTGGATTCATACTAACCAAAAAAATAGTTATTTTGGAAAAATCACTTAACCATTCATTCACATACTAGTTTACCAGTACCTACATCTACTTCACATCAACTGAACCAGTATCGAACAAATTTTTTAGAAGACAACAGAGTAAAAATTAATCTACTTTAGTAATTCTGTAAAGAAATAATTGCGTTTTAAAGATGAGAAAATCGTACATATTTATAAATTATTTACTTATTTGTTTTATTTTTACTTTGCTGCATTTTCAATACTTTGCCTAAAGCAGCTGTTCTAAAAAGATATGTTAGAATAAAAAAGAGTCTATTTTTTGTTCTTTTTAATATGAAATAAAGGCAGCCTCAATACTCGATTTCTAGTAGTAACTGACATTGTGTGTTATTGGGTTCTAAGGATATAATCAATAATTATTATCTTTCTAAAAGGACACTCGGTGCACCACCAAACCAAACTGCATTTTTGTACATTACCCCGGTTTGCCCTGCCACATCTACGCCACTGTCTCCGCTAGAAACAACTGTAATAAAATAATATTTGATCCCACACGGACGACTGTCTCGACAATTCCTTATCTAGTTCTGCGAGGTACCTACTAAAATTGATGTTCAAATTATATGAAGGACTGTAAACCCCCGACAGTAAAGCAAGAGGGAAACAAAGTATGACACTGTTTCCGTCATGCGCTACGGCCTATTACTATTCATGAAGCAATTAATTACGGTAACAATGTTTGTCTGTGAGCCTCACGAAATTTATTGATGGAATAAATTCGTGTGGCCCAGCAATGAAAGTCAATATGAAAACAGCAAAATACTAAAGCTAATAATAAAGGCTTTTATTGGCTGTGCGTATAATAGCAATGAAAAATATAACGTTGGGTTCGGATGAGGTAAAAATAGACATACACATATTCCGGACTTGATTGTTCTTTTATTACTATACAGGGTATTGTAGTAATTACGGCCATGGATATTTTGTTTTTTCTTTTATGTTTAAGCAAGCTGATGCAAAATTTAATTTCCAATCGATTTTGCTAAAATATCTTATGGTTTATCTGCAATAGTTTGTGAGCTATTTTCATATTTTTTGTTACTATTTCCGTTGTTAAAATATGGATACCACAAAAATGGAATTTTCAAAATCAAAGTGGACTTTGAAAATAATATTTGAGCATCGTTTAACGTAAAAGTTAGTACCAGTTAGTTATTTGGTTATTTTAATTTAACAAAATTTTTTTATAAAAATTGATTCAGACTAAACGCTTCGATTTCGAGATACAAGGTGTTAAAGATTGAATACAAAATAATAAAAGAGCCGGAGCAATTTCGCTGAAACGCTTGCGCACATCACAGGTTTCTTACATACCAGGATTAATTTATTTTTGCTGTATTTTTTTACCCAGGCTATCCGAAATTTGAGATATTTATAGATATATAGAAATTTTGTACATAATGTAACCGGATAGCCATAAATAACAAATAGCGGATATATAGGCGACCCCTTTAATTTAATAATAATAGTAATGTGGTTTATACCAATTAAAAATGGTTCATATTTTTAATTCTAGTACGTTGTTATGGCAAATTAGATTTTTTTAGTTTGCATCAGAGTACTTTTTATGCAATTTTTGTAGTACCCGTTAAAATAATTTATTGTTGGAATACGTTATTTGGAAATGCATTATCGGGAATAAAACAGAGCAAGTTTGTTTACAAATTTCTATTAATTACAAAAATATAAAAAGTAGTAGATATTTTGAAATCTTAATTAAGTAGTGATGTTGTAGAGAGTAACTACTCTGCGGACTAAAGCTTCGACCAGCATTGAGTTACAACAGTAATATCAAGTAAGCAATTAAGATTATTCGTCAATACAATACAGGGTGTCCCGAAATTCATGCAACAAAATTTGGTCACGGAATCTTAAGACACATTTAGGCGACCCGTATTTTTTATTTTTGCTAAGTGGCCCCCTCTTTCGGAGTTACAGCGCCCTGAAATCCGCACCTAAGAATAATCTTTTTTTTATATCTCAGAACCCTGTTGTACGAGAATTACTAAATTTGGTACACAGGGGTTTTACGACATGTGGAATCTGATGGTGCTACGTTTTTTGGCGGGGAACCCCCTTAAGATAATTTTTCGTGGCCCCCCTTGTCTTTGGAGCCAAAAGTTTGGTGGCATATTTAAATTTCTTAAAAATTATCAGTCCACTAGAAAGCCATTAAATTTAGAAACTTTTTGTCACTTTATACTTTTTTTTGTAAAACGCAATGTTTTCGAGAAAAATGTCAAAATGTGATCGAATGCATATCGTGATTCGCAATTTTCCTCAAAAATATTCCGTTTTACGAATCAAATATCAAGAGATAAAAAAGTTTCTAAATTCAATGGCTTTCTAGCTAACTAATAATTTTAAAAAAATCAAATTTGCGACCAAATTTTTCTGGTTCCAAAGACAAGGGGGCCCACGAAAAAGTGTCTTAAGGGGGTTTCTCCCCAAAAAGCGTAGCACTGTGAGATTCCACATGTCATAAAACCCCTGTGTACCAAATTTAATGATTCTCGTACAACATTGTTTTGAGATATAAAAAAAGATTTCTTAGGGGCAGATTTCAAAGGGCTGTAACTCCGAAAGAGGGGGTCAAATGGCAAAAAGAAAAAATACGGGTCCACTAAACTTGTCTTAAGAATCTATGACCAAATTTTGTTGCATGAATTTCGGGACACCCTGTTTATCGGTTGCGAACTTATGAGTTTTCATCAGTATGCCGTAGATGAGACAATCAACGAATTATAGAGCTATTTGGATGTTGACATGATTTGTATATGGCTGAAGTATAACTTACAGAGTGTGTTATATCGATTGAGTAGCCTAGGTCTTCAATACGGCTAAACTGCCAGAGAGTGACTTACTAATCGTAGGTGGAAATAAAACCAGTGTCGCAATAAACGAATCAAACTTATTTGTTCAAAACCAAAATGTGTCGGGTGGTTTTACTGACTATTGAACTTAATTGTTTACTAGTTATTGTGGATGCAATTAAATGCTCATCGGGGCTTTATTCTACAAAGTAATTGTTTCTTTCAATACCATTAGATTAAATTTCGTGTGCCTAGTGCTATAAATTAGTAGGATGCACTTTGTCAGTTTGGCCTTATTGAAAGTCTAGATATTGAGTAGAAGTGATACAGAAGTGTAGATAACACATTTAGTAAGATACATTTGATCCATATTAGTATAGTTTGAAAACTTAACTTTTTTAAAACTTGAAACTTTTTGAAAGTAAAACTATCCTCATAATAGATTGTAGTTAAAGAGAAGATATTACAAATTTGCTTGTCTTTCTAATAATTCAGTTTATATGTTGTTGACTGACGTTAAATTATATTCCGCTTACTTATCTTCTTCATTTGACGGCTTTCTTTCAAAATCAGTAGAATTTTGGATTTTTAAGAATAATAGAAAATGATTACCTCCGTCGACGTCAACACAGACGGACCCCGGGCAGCAATGTTCATTGGCTGTGCACCGCCTTCCATAACAGGGTTCGTCCTCGCTATTTTCACTCACAAACTCCTCCATAATGCCTTCGTCCCCTTCGCCATTCCTCTGGAAAAGAAAGGCTGAGTTAAATTTTGTTAATTCTTCCTGTTTATTACATTGAGACCAGTATTTTTTGTAAAATCCTTCTAGTTTCCGAGAAAAAAAATTATTGAAGTTGTAGTATTTACAACCCTTACATTGCTGGTCTACTGCAGTCTCTAGCGTCGGTAGCGTTGTGAGCTATACGCAATCCTCTGTCTCTCCACGTGGCCCCAGGCGATTCCAAATACCGAAATCCGATTTTAGTATTTACGATAGTGTTTACATTAGTTTTTCAAGTGTCAAAAATAGCTTACGTATATCTCAACTCGGAGTTGATGAATTTGTGGTGAAGTAAGACAACATTTGTGTTACGGTGAAGCAAGCCAACATTTGTGTTAGTTCGTGGAAACTGGGTAAGACGGGTCCAAATGTGTTTACACATTGGTGAAGAAAATTTTGAACAGTTATTGTAACATCAGGTATGTCAAATTATTTTATTAATTAAAACCACAAATTTATTAATTAATAATAACAATAGCGGTAAAAGCAGTTGAATTTGCTGATACAAAATAGGTGTTATAGAATTTTATTAATTTCTTTCCATGGGAACGAAATTCTTTAAATTTTTGGTCCGTTCACTTTTTATTACACTTTGCCGCCGTGCCAGTCGCTGACTGCATTCTTTGCCTTGCGCAAGGTCCCGTTTTACAGTGGACCAGTGTCCAGTGCCGTGCAGAAGTGTATTTTTAAATCATTTTCGACCTGAATATTTTCTCCTGTACATTCATCAATTTTTTTTTTTTGATAAGTTCTGAAATTTAGAGAACTACATTTTTTATGCTGGGTGATTTATTATGATGATTATGAATGGTAAAGCACGGCTCTGGGAGATACTAAAATATAATAAATATGGACCATTCTCGAAATGATTTAAAAAAAAATATTATTTAACTCTCGAAATTTTTAGTCTGTCATTAAAGTATTAATCTAATTTAAATAAATTCTAGTGTTTGTTATGTTTAATTGAACTTAAGAAGACTAGTCCTATTTTTCAACAAATATTTTTTATTTGAAATGACATTTTAAATAAAATGTTTTAAAGAACCCATTAATGAAATTGCTACTTTATTGATTTTTTTCTTAGAAACGTGATTTTAACTACTGTTAGAAATTTAAAATTTAAGCAAAATTGGGAAATCAATGGCGTAGAGATTTCGCATTTTTTGGGACTATGCTCCCTACTACCTCTAACAAAACGTAAAATTTCTACGGCATTTTAATCTAATGGTCTTAGCATTTGTATTACTCAAGGTATATAATTACTGCACAACATTTTTTGAAACTGTGTTGCACTTCAAATTATGTAGAATAGTATTTTCGATATCAATTGAAGAACCAACAGTATGTACCAGGCTCGGCAACTCGGCATTGAAATATTTGGAAAACTTGTTCCCATATTTATTTAGCCATACCCATATACAGGTCCGGTCGAACTAAATGTGCAGGTGGTAGAAATATATACGTTGAAGAATGAGCGTGCGGGCAAACAGCAATACTCACTGTTGCTCTGGTCGACTGAGTCATAAATTTCAGTTGTCGACAAGTCGCCTGGCAGTGCAGTCCAGCAATGCGGATTTTGGTGTGATTCGGGTAATTTTAATTTATTATAGGTACCTTCTATTCATATTACAATTGCAAAAGAGAGAAATAAGATGGATATTTGGTTTACTAATATCATTACAACATGGCATTTTGGAGGCCTTTTGAAAGGGAACAAAACGATTTACCATCAATACAATAAAATCGTTTGAGGACATAAATAATTCAAATATGTTGTTGGTCAAATGAACATATAATATAAATTTTCTACACATTATATACAAATTATTATAATTTTTTACATTTAGCAGAAAACTTTTTTAGGGACGCCTATGAAACTCATTAAATTTGGTAGTTCGTTTTTTTAATACATGTTCAACTGACTTCGGAAAGACTATACCAGCAATTTTCTAAGAACAAAACATTCATTACGTTTTTGAATAATAAATTGTGTTCCTTAGTATCAGATAATTTTATGGCTATGTAAAGTAAATTAATTCCGAATAGTTTTTATTTCAATTCATCATTTGCTTTCAAATCAAAAAAATGGTTTACATCATTTTGATGTGGTTTTCGAGGGCTTTAGATTTTCTCCGAGACTTTCATTTTTCTTTTTATTACTGCATATTATTGCATCACAAATTATACCTGTCTGTGATTTTTTATTAACTTGAATAAATAATAAAATCACCTATAAATGATCCAAAGAAACGAAAAAGTAACTATTGAATATCGAGAAATGTAAATGAAAGCTTCTATTTATACAAAGCAAACGACGACGAGGATCAATTCATCATTTGCGCTCTTCAATACACCATTTGTCATCCTTATCGGATCTTTTTATAGAAAGAAATACGGCGATGCATTATGTATTTGGTAAAAGCAAAGCGAAAATAATAACATGTGACGAGACAAATTGCTCCAAATTGGTATGGCTGTATTCTCGACAAATATTATAAATGTGACGAATAAGTATATTGCCATCGAAAAGACTAAAATAGCTAAACGAATAGATTTGAATCTAAACGAACCTAGATTATACCAACTTCTACTCGGCTCTTTACCGAGCGGCAGAAGGACATTAAAGTCGAATTTTACTTTCAAATCTAAAACGCTTTGCTCAATTTAAATTAAGCTTCAAATCAAAATATTACATTATTTGTCAAATGCGCTGTTCATTATAAAACTATTTGAGAAATCTATAATAATTTCATAAATGAATGAATGAATGAGAAATAGGTACATGTACGAGCAAGTCATCTTATTTTCTAATGCCATTAATAACAAGTCAGTGCGAGTCTGCCTTAACTGAAACATTATTTTCAAATAAGAAAACTTTTTAGGAAAGTTCGGTTGATTTACTATCCAAGTTTTTCTTCTGAAGAAGTTATAAATTACCCTACTCTCCTAGACGCATGGATTGTTTCCGATCGTATATATTTTAGGAAATGCTATATGAGGCCGATATTTCTTGCTTATGAGAAAAATCGGAACAACTCATTTGGCCCATTCGTTTCTTGTATCCCATAAATTTCACTTCTTGCAGGATTTATATGGGACATTAGACGCTACGTTCATTTACTCGTCTAATACTTTTCTTCTAGAAAATAAAGGGAGAATGTCGGATTTTCATTATCTAAAAATTTATTAACCAAACAATTTTCTACCTTTTCTTTAACGTACAATGTATTTAATTTTTTGTAGAAATTTGCATATAATAGAACTTCGTACTGGAATTATAAATGTCTATATTACTCACTCTTAAAAAGTATTTCATGATAAGTCTATGTTAAAATATTTAAATTTCTATATACTTTGTAAATGTACAGGGTGTTTCAGGAGATGTACATACTTCAGTGTGTTATTCATTCAATTTTAATTAAAAAATTTCCTATGAACTTAGGTCTGGAAACGCTTCGTTTAGGATATACAGGATATCAAATTTAAAAAAATAATTACATTTTCTTTAATAACTCTCGACTACTTTGAGTTAAATTCATAAAATTTTGTGTGCGGAGGTTTGTTGGGATGGGAAATTCAAATTTTATGGACGATTGGCTGTATCTCCCAGAGGGAGCCACAAACGACCATTAGGATCCTTTTAAATCGTTTCAACTTTTTTTGTGCCACGGTGTATGTCAGTTCGGAATAGAAAAACATTTTCCCCTATCTTAATTTTAGATTTTGTAAACTTCTACAATAAACTACTAAAATAAAGAATTATTGAATGGACTGAATTGTTGATGGACATGAATGCTTAAAGAAAGTGATAAGAACAGGAAAATATTAGAAAACAGACTCGGAGACAGACAGAACAAAATAGCTGCACAATTTAATAAATGAGCAAAACTCGAAATACTACAGTAGATACTGAAATTGTCCCCCATTTGCTTCTACGCAAATTAATTTTTCTCGAAAATGGTAGGTACATGCTACCGAATTTCGACAAGTATACCTTTTTTTGTAGTTTAGAGTTTACAAAACCGTTTAGAAATGTAACAAATTTTGACTTTTAACATATATTTTTTTTTCGATTGTACCTCTCCAATTACCTGTTTCGGCGACACTGCTTTTCAGAAAGAAACTGTTTGCACATTATTCTTATCGTCAAGTTGATGTTTACTCGTGTACAAATTTTGTCATTTTTATCTTTAGCGGATTTAAAGATAATTAAGGAAAACCATTTGGAAAGTAACAAATTCAACACACTGTATCACAAAAACAGCGCTTAAGAAAAAAACGTTATATGGACTACCCCTCTTATTTTCCCATGAGGAACTTGCAGACAAGTTTTTTTGAAACATGAACTGGTTACCATGTATAACAATATTATAGCATAAATTTTATTTTACAGTTTCGAATTACGTTTGAAAGTAATTAAATACAGGGTCGGAAAGTCCCCATGGTTCATCGGCCGTTACGTGAGAGCGATAAAGCAAGTCATAGAAATCCGTGCGATAGAGAAAGATGGCTATAATGAAGGCATCTAATAGTCACCGCCCATTTTGCCCTTCCACAAATAAGAAGTGGAAACATTTTTATATTAAATTTGTTTTTTACAAACATTATTATTGGGTAGATAAAATTTAAAAAAATTTATATTGAAGTTTAGAAGACTATGAAATGCTTCAGTCAAGAAAATTTTTGAAAATACCTTTGTTACCAGTTTTTTTATACAAATTACTTTATTTGCATTACCGCCTCTATTCAGCAGACTTCTAAATGATTATGAGAAAAAATAAACTAGGAATTATTCATCTATTGTTCAATTTTCCATGCTGTGTACATTTTTCCAAGATTTAATGTTTCACGAATTATAACTGATAAAATATTTTTTTTCTTCTGCAGGTACTTTCATTTAATTTTTTTCTAAAATTTTCGTAAAGGAAAATTACATTTATTTATTTTCGGAAAATATTTTACGC